GGGTAGGATGGATGAAGTGGAGGTTAGCATCTGGAGTATTGTATGACAAAAGAGTGCCACTGATACTCAAAGGGAAGTTCTATAAAGCGGTGGTTAGGCCGGCCATGATGTATGGGGCTGAGTGTTGGCCGGTTAAGAAATCACATATCCAGAAGATGAAGGTAGCAGAAATAAGGATGTTGAGGTGGATGTGCGGGCATAGTAGGATGGATAAGATTATGAATGATGATATTCGGGAGAAGGTGTGTGTGGCTCCCATTGATGACAAGATGCGGGAAGCAAGGCACAGGTGGTTCGGGCACGTTCAGAGGAGAAGCCCAGATGCTCCAGTAAGGAGGTGCGAACGGCTGGTTGTGGAGGGCTCGAGAAGAGGTAGAGTGCGAACTAAGAAGTATTGGGGGAGGTGATTAGGCAGGATATGGCTATGCTTCAGATTTTCGAGGACATGACAATTGATAGGAACATGTGGAGGTCGAGTATTAGGGTTGTAGGCTAGGAGGTAGTTGAGTCTTGCCTTATGCCATAACTTTGGGAGACTAGTTTGGTAGGGATACTATTTTGCTTTTGCTTTGTATCATTCCTCTTGATTTCATGTTGTTCTTATTTTTCATATGTATATTTCTTTCATATTATTTCTGTGGTGTTACTAATATTGTCTTCTTTTGTCTTTTTGTCTTCTTGAGCCGAGGGTCTTTCAGAAACAACCTCTCTACTCCTTCGGGGTAGGGGTAAGGTCTGCATACACACTACCTTCCCCAGACCCCACCAATGAGATTTCACTGGGTGGTTGTTGTTTTAATGAATATGAATAGTCGATGATCTGATATTTAAAACATCAAAAAAGGAGTAAAAGTTCCAACTATTTTCCAGTTACACAGAATATGAATAGCCCATGATCTGGTATGTAAAATATCATTTTATTGTCAAAATTGTTATTGGAGGAATCAAAAGTGAAATTACATACTATTATACAAATCGAATCAGAACTTCAAATAATTGAGGGACTAAAATACTATTAAACAAAATAAAATATTATAGTAGTTAGCATTGTCGCCTTGCTGTGCGGGAGCGGGGCTGCTACGACATAATTGACCCTTGAACCCGCAGAAAGGGTAAAATGATACTCAACACTGAAATGGTCACCATATAGTTAATCTTCTGCAAATCCTTTAATGTCAACATCTTTAACCATAGTCATAACAGATCTATTCCTAGCTAACCGATCATTCATTCTTCCAAAGTTTGATGCACCAATGATGGGACCAAAAATCAATATAGTTTCAAGAAAATTAATAAAACCATCAAATCCAACTCCAAAGCATCTTCAAAGCTTCAAGTTATCTATATTTGATCAACTTGCTCCTTCATACCATATCAAGATCATTCTCTATTATTCCATCAATGGAGAAAACAAAGCTTCTAATAATTCTCAATTACTTACACAATTGGAGGAACCATTGGCTCACACTTTATCCAAGTTTTACCCACTAGCTGGAAGATTTGTCAAAGATCAAGAACATCTCTTTATTGATTGCAGTGACCAAGGTATTGAATATTTAGAAGCTAAATTTGATGGGGAACTAGCTGAGTTGCTACATCAAAGACTTGATGTTGAGAATTTGGATCAACTTTTACCACAAGAAGTTGGTCCAGCTGACTCTGCCACAACTCCATTACTGACTATCCAAACCACTTCATTTTATTGCGGAGGACTTTCTATTGGGATGTGCGTTTCTCACAAAGTTGCAGATACTTCCACAGTCCTTTCATTTATCAATGTATGGGCCAAAGCAAATCAAGGAGAGAATATCAATAACGTATTGTGCCCGGATTTTGGAGTTCCTTCATTGTTTCCACTTAAAAACTCTATGGTTCAGAACATTCCTGAACTTGCTGAATACATGGAAGTGAAAATCGTAACGAGAAGATTTCTGTTTGATGAGACCGAAATTTCTAGACTTAAAGACTTATTCAAGGAAAAAGCAACTACCGACCAAGAAATCCAACCTACACGAGTGACATTGGTGACTGCTGTCATATGGAAGGCTTTAATCAGTGTGGCTCAAGCCAAACATGGTCAATTACGGCCTTCTTTACTAGTCATTGTTATTAACTTGCGGGGAAGAACTGCAGTTGTTCCCATTTCTAAAAATGCTTTTGCTAACTCTTGGACTACAATCAATGCTCGCTTTACTCCAACAGGGAATATATTAGAATGGTTTCATTTGGTACCACTGCTGTCCGATGCAGTGAGAAACACTGCCAAGTTCATTAGTAAAGCAGGTACTGATGACATTTCTTTGTTAGCAGTTACAAATTTTAAAGAGGAACAAGAAGGATTTCTAGAAAACAGCGGCGTTGATGCATTTATACGTACCAGTTGGAGTAAGTTACCAGCATATGACGCTGACTTTGGTTGGGGAAGGCCTTCTTGGGTTAGCAGTGCACGTTGCTGCTGTGAAATGATCACTCTGTTGGATAGCAAATGTGGTGACGGAATTGAAGTATGCGTGTCTTTGAATGAGAAAGACATGTATGAACTTGAACGTGATATAGACATTTGTACTTTTACTTCCTTGCACTAAAACATCTGAAAACATTTAATTGAAGGAATGACACATTGTAGCAAGCTGTTGGCTTTGTCATTTTCCCTTTGCCTTTCTTTAAATTAGAACTGATCAGGACAGGTAATGTTGTTTTATATAACAGTAGAATGAAAGATACCGCATTTTATTGAAAATACATTTACAGTGGGTCACTGAATCATTGTTGCTTGTTAGAGCTTGAAGTGGAGCTAGTAGTATCACCAACTAGGGCTGTGCATTTGGATCGGATTTCGGGCTGTGCATTTGGATCGGATATCCGAAATCCGATCCGATCCGCTCAATTTCGGATTTTGGATTTCGGATATTTGGATCGGATTCGGATTTGATTTATTAAAATTTCGGATTTTCGGATTGGATTCGGATTTGTATAGTTTGAACCCGATCCGATCCGAAATCCGAATTTATTAAGGGAAGTATAAATACTAATTTTATTTTTAGGGTTAGGTCTTATTTCATTCTCGTTCTTTTCTCACAAGTCACAGCCTTATCTGAGACTCAGAATCCACCCACACCCAGAGATTGCTGCTCACTTCACGCCTCAAGCTGCTCCTGCTCGTTGCTTCCTCTATCTCTTCTCTGTGTTCCGACGACCGGCGACCGCACTGGTAAGACACTAAGACTCACTCCTTCTCTCTCGTTCTCTCTCTCTTTCTCCCCCTTTCTTAGAGCTTAAATGAAGTGTTTGTTCTCTTTTATTTCTTGGATAAAATTGATGAAATAAATTGAGGATTTCACTCTTGACTTTCTTAAACAGAAATAGACCATACTATACTACTATTTTGAATCCGATTTTACTTTTAATTTTTTGTTTTGTTTCGTAGATGGAAGATGAGGTAGAGATGGTGAATAAAGTTCAAGCTCTTGTAAAATGTGGTGAAAGTGGTGCTTCAAATGATTCCACAACTAACGTCGAATCTGAATCTGGTTCGAAGAAAAGAAAAACCATGAAAGAAAGATCAATGGCTTGGCGACACTTCAGTAAGTTCACTGATAACGAGGGTGTTAAAAAAGCGAAATGCAAGTACTGTCCAGAAGAATATGTAGCTAACACCAAAAACAGTAGTACAAGCAATTTGCTATCACATTTTCTCAAGTGTCCAAACAATCCCCACAAGCCGGAGACAAGCCAGACAAAATTAGCTTTTCAACCGAAAGGTCCAACAGGTGATGTCTCACTTATCCCTTGGAAAATTGATCAAGAGGCATGTAGGAGGGCTTTAGCTCGTATGATAATTATAGATGAACAACCCTTCATTTCTGTTGAAAAGGATGGATTTAGAGACTTTGTGAGAGCTCTTCAACCTTTATTTCATATTCCATCTCGTACTACTATGACTAAAGATTGTCTTGAGATTTACCATGATGAAAGACTTGCTTTGAAGTCAATTTTTAAAGAATCAAAATAGAGAATTTGTATTACGACTGATACATGGACATCAATTCAAAGAATTAACTATATGTGTGTTACAGCACATTACATTGACAAGAATTGGAATTTGCACAAAAAGATATTAAATTTTTGTCCAATTACTAGTCATAAAGGTCAAGATTTAGCTAGTGGTGTTGCTAAGTGTTTACTTGAATGGGGAGTGGATAAAGTATTTACTGTGACAGTCGATAATGCAAGTTCTAACGATGTCATGGTTAAAGAATTATCCAAACAATTTATTAGATGGAACACTAACTTGATGGAAGGTAAGCATGTTCATGTTAGATGTATGGCTCACATCATCAATCTAGTTGTTCAAGATGGGTTGAGAGAAGGGAGTGTGTCTGTGGAACGAATAAGGCAAGCTGTTAGATACATTAGATAATCTCCAGCAAGATGGAAGAAGTTTAAAGAATGTTGTGATCTCGATAGGATAACTTCTAAAAAATCATTGTGCTTGGATGTTCCTACTAGGTGGAACTCCACATATTTGATGTTGAAGGTTGCTACAGTTTATGAGGAAGCCTTTACAAAATATTGTGATATTGATTATGGTTTGATGTCATGTATTTCTAACTGTATTTGTGAGGATGGACAGCCTGCAGGTCCACTTTTAAGTTCTGATTGGGATAGTGTAAGACGTACTGTGAAGTTTTTTGAAATATTTTATGAACTCACCTTGAAGGTATCAGGTACACTTTATATTACGTCTAATGTGCACTTTCTTGAGATATGTGTTGTTGGTTCTTCTTTGAAAGAGTTGATGCAAAGTGAAGATGCTACCTTGAAAGAAATGGCAAATAATATGAAAGAGAAGTTTGATAAGTATTGGGGGG